CATCATCTTAAATTGTAAGTTAACCAGAAGCACTCCTCAGCACATACACAAACAGATGGAGAAGATTTTCTGTATTTTACACTTCATGTTTGTGTTAATTAACATATAATGGAGCCAGTATTAGAAGTTGGGGAAGCTGTCACACCATGTTTGTTTGACTGTCTAACTTTGGATACTTAGATTAGAGCCTGAATGTCATTTAGGCTGGAGCCAAACTTGGGTATCCTAAGCTGTCTCCTCCCTCCTTAGAGGCACCTACTTTCTCTCTTAGCAGCAGGATCAGGTGAAGTAGGTGATGTGAATAATTCTCTGCTATTTCTGAGAGCAGTTCTGTCACATGTTAACTAGCCACAAATGGCTTCATGTCAAAACACATGTACTACACTCACCAACTCATCCACTGGTGTTACTTTGATCTCCTCTAGGGTAGGCTCCAGATTACATACCCACGCTTAAATCCTGGCTATAGAAATGTCTGTACGGTTCTTCTGTACCAGCTGGATCTGGTGATCTGCAGTATGGGTGTAATACCATCAGTGTATTGAGTACACTGCACTCTATATTCCCTGATTAACTACTCTAGGATGTGTATGAGGTGTAGTAAAAAGTGGTGGGAAACAGGGGAAGCAGCAAGATGTCCCAGCAGTATACTACAGAAGCCATTCTCCATTCAGTTTTGAGTAGGGGTTTTTTAATTTCAGGATATGTTCATTGTTACACAAAAGACAACCACATGTAACAGTATTAGTGTTCAACCTGATTAATTCCTGTGTCTTTAATCTTTTACTTTGAGCACTGGAGTTCACCAGATTATTTAATGCTGTTGTGCTATGATGCATATGCTGACATTCGAGTAATTTGTTGTCCATAGGAATTGTTGCAAATAGCTATTAGCTCACTGGCCTAATACTTTCTGTAGTAATATTTTTTAGAGCAGCTTGTACAGTATAATTCATCAGACAATTAAGATTTTTAGTCAGTTAAGTAGAAAATATTACAAAATTAGATTTAGTCTTAATTCACAAGACTCAAACATTCAGAGGCGAATACATAGGAGTTTTGGCTTACAAATGTAAAATGTCAGCAAAAAAATAAATAATACAACTTCAGTAGAAGAGACCATGGCATAATTAATAAAACAGTATTCAACCCTCATTTAAAGAAAATCATGAAATGGCAAGGCTGCTTGGAGCAGATTCAGTTCGCTGAGGTAAAAAAACCACCAACAACACATTTCTTCCTGTAACTTTTTTGTGACAATTAAAACGCCTATGTCCCAATCAAAAAGAGGTTTACAAAGTGGTTCTCTATCCACAGCAACTGTAGTCTCTGTAGATAACCTCTGTTTCTGCTGTCTTTGCAGAAAGAACACTGAGGTATGTCAGTGCTGTCCTGTGACATAAATGCACAGGGCGAGTTCAGGTTGATGCATGTTCGGTAATGATTTCACTTGCAAGCCAGCATGCTGCAGTCTATACTTCAATGGGAACCTACATGTATGTGTCCTAAGTGCGTATTTCAGAGTGGACTTCTGTTGTTGCATTCATTAATTATTTGCAGAAATGCACTGCACTGCTTAAAAGGAGGCTAGAAGTAGAGGGAAATAACATCTGAACTTGGCTAGCAACCTGCTGAAGTATGTCTTTTTGCCTGCACTTGAACACCTGTTTGTCCCTTTCTGCCCTTTGTGTAGAGTTAAATGGTATTACCAACGACTTCAATTCAAGCAGCCATTGAAGCATGAACAAATATGTTGTTATTTATTGCATACACTTTCTCCAGTGGCAAAAGATTATTATTTTTTTTAATTATTATTGATTTTAAAAGAAAATTGCCTTGGACTTTGCAATAAGAATTTAAGCAGATTCTAAACTTATGATATTATTGAGAGAAAATGTGGACTAGTGTTGAACTGTACTTGGCTGCTTTGTGGCTGTATTTTCAAGACCTGTGTAAGCTGGTTTGGAACGTCTGTTCCGTTTACTTCAAACTGGAAACCTTACCAACAGCTACATTAAAATGTTTCCAATTTCTTAAATTTCAAGGTTTGCTTCCCTAGGAAAAAAACCTCTGAATAATCTTATGTGGATGGCCATTGACAGCTTTTTCCAATACAGAATAGGATTTTTTAAAAAAACTTTTTATTGGGAGGGGTTGGGGAAGAGGATGTGGAGCTGTTTCGCTTAAATTCCTGTTACTAGATGTCATTTAAGGAACAAGAAGACCCCTACTGGCATTTGAAGACAACAAGGGGAGGTAGGGGAGAAACTCAGGAATCAATAAATCTTAAGAAATTTAACCCAAATCACCAGAATCTTTATAATTGTGGTTTGCATTCACCCTTGTCAGTACTAGGTACTGGTAGTTTCGTATGCTGATTTCTGTATGGGCATTACAAGCTGTAGTTGCCAAAACACTTTTCTAATGTAACTTTTCTAGTGACACAAGGGCAGCCTTGGCTGCACTGGCCATGAAATGATGGAGTTCAAGATCCTTAGAGCAGCACAGAAGGTGCACAGCAAGCTCACTACCCTGGACTTCAGGAGAGCAGACTTTGGCCTCTTCAGGGATCTACTTGGTAGAGCCCTAGAAGGAAGAGGGACCCAAGAAAGATGGTTAATATTCAAGGATCACCTCCTCCAAGCTCAGGAGTGATGCATCCCAACAAAGGGGAAGCCAGGCAAATAAGCTGGGAGGTCTGCATGGATGAACAAGAAGCTCCTGGACAAACTCCAGCATTAAAAGGAAGAAGAAGCAAGGATGAATAGCCTGGGAGGAGTGACTTTTTTACCTCAGTCTTGGTAAGTGCTCCAGCCACACTGGTAGAGTCACAGATCGCAAAGGAAGGGACTGGGAGAATGAAGTGCTTCTCACTGTAAGAGAAGATTGGGTTTGAGAACATCTAAGGAGCCTGAAGGTGCACAAGTCTGTGGGACTTGACAAGATACATCAGCAGTAACTGGCATATGTAGTTGCCAAACCATTTTCCATCATATTTGAGTTCTAAGGCACATGCAAAACTAAGGAGGTGATTGGTGACAGCCAACATGGCTTCACTAAGAGCAAATTGTGGCTGACAAGTTTGCTGGCCTTCTAAGATGGAGTCACAGCACTGGTGGATAAGCAAAGAGTGACTGACATCAGCTACCTGGACTTGTGCAAAGCATTTGACACTGTCCCACTCAACAACCCTTTCTCTAAACTGAAGAGACTATTCAACGGATAAAGAATTGTCTGGATGGTCACAGTCAAAGAGTTGCTGTCAATTGCTCAATGTCCAAGTGGAGATCAGTGAAGAGTGGTGTTCCTCAGGGGTTGGTGTTGGGACCAATCCTGTTCAACATTGCTGGTGACATGGAAAGCGGGATTGAATGCACCCTCAGCAAGTTTGCCAGCAACACCAAGCTGTGTGATGTGGTCGACATGCTGAGGGAAAGGATGCTATCCAGAGGGACCTGGAGACACCTGGGAGGTAAACCTCATGAAGTTCAACAAGGCCAAGTGCAAGGTCCTGCACCTGGGTCAGGGCAATCCCTTGTGCAAATACAGGCTGGGCAGCGAAGTGATTAAGAGCAGCCCTGGGGAGAAGGACTTGGGTGTTGGTGGACAAGAAATTCAACATGACCAAGTATTGGGTGCTTGCAGCCCAGAAAGCCAACTGTCTTCTGGGCTGCATCAAAAGGAGCGTGACCAGCAGGTCAAGGGAAGTGATCCTGCCCCTTTACTCTGCTCTCGGGAGACCCCACCTGTGTTCAGCTCTGGAACACTCAATATAAGAAGGACCATGGACCTGTTGGAGCAAGTTCAGAGGAGGCCACGGAGATAATCAGAGGGCTGGAGCACCTCTCCTATGAAGACAAGCTGAGAGACTTGGGGTTGTTCAGCCTGGAGGAGGCTGAGGGGACACCTTATAGCAGCCTTCCAATCAATACCTAAAGGGAGCCTACAGGAAATCTGGAAGGGAATTTTTATAAGAGGAGATAGTGATAGGATGAGGGGGAATGGCTTTAAACTGGAAAAGGGGAGATTTAGATTAGCTATTAGGAAGAAATAATTCACTATGAGGGTGATGAGGCACTGGCACAAGTTGCCCAGAGAAGCTGTGACTGCTCCATCCCTGGCAGTGTTCAAGGCCAGGTTGGACAGGGCTTGGAGCAACCTGGTCTAGTGGCAGGTGTCCCTGCCTGTCTCAGGGGGGTTGGAACTGGGTGATCTTTAAGGTCACTTCCAATCTAAACTGTTCTGTGATTGTAATATCAAAAGCCTCAGTGTCTCAGATCCAGAAACCCCACTTGAGTGTGCAGTTGCAAGAATGAACCATACAGACAATTCTCTGTGCAGAGAAGTGAGAGGATTAAAGTGTTATTTTAGACAAACTGGGCAGGGAGGGGCAGCTGACTTAAAGTAGGACCATTTTCCCAATTCATTTTGCTGCACAGCCTGCAAACAACTGTGCCAAGGCAGGTCTTGAGGGTTTCTGTCTTGTACATTAAGTAGTCACCAGGTGAAGAACAACTGTTGTTCATGTTCTGTTATGCAAAGTAACATAAATAATTTCTCACATCTGTGCTGCTGCCTTTATTCTTGACTTAGAAAGTACAGGGAGAATCCATCAGATCAGTGTAAAACCACAGCAGGTAGTTGTCCCCTTTGATGAAGCTACTAGAGATGTAGATTGACAGAGCACATTTGGCTGTTTTGTCTTTGGAAATGTTTAAATCATGATTGTGGCAGAATGAAGAGTGAGCAGTGGTCTGAGCACAGCATGACCTGTACCTTTGGGAAAAGGAGGCGGTGTTGTCTGTATGCTGGCTATGTTCTGAGCCATTCACTCAGGGAAATTAATTTCCCTTTCATGTGCATCTGACCTGGAGAGCATTGGTATCAGCTTCGTAACTGAACACCAACCTCCTTAAATCAGGCTGGGTATTTAATTAACAGTGCCACCATCTTTCGTCTGGAAATAAGTGTGACTGTATTTGCTATTTTGTGTTCTTCAGGGCATTTGATGTGGAACTTCTTTATATAGCTCAGCGCTTGGGAATACCTATAGCAGAAGTTGCTGTCAACTGGACTGAAATTGAAGGTAGGGAAATTATTTATATTCTTGTAAGATTCCTTATGTGTCAATCCAGAATAAAATATCCAAGGGTCTTCCCATATTTTACCCAGTTCCGATAACTCTCAGCTGCCTTTCCATACAAATTTTGAATTTCATGTCCTTGCCAGCCTTTTGCCGTGACACAGTACAGGAAGTGTAGCTGAAGGGGTAGCAAGAGAGAGAAACTTTTCAGTCCCACTGGAGACAAAAGTAGGTAGTTATACTGATACTATAAAGCACTACTTTGGCGTGCCCCCTTCCTATAATGTGTTAAGAAAAATACTGCAATTGTAAAACACTGTGCAGGAAGTCTGACCATCGCTGTTCTGTGATTCAACTCCATTTTACTATGGAGTTCCAAAATCCTCAGCCCACCTGTTAAGGCCTCCTCTTCTGAAGATGTGTTGTTCTTTCAGACCTGTAGGGAGGTCTCTGTTACTGGGTTACTGGAAGGTATACTTCCATAGATATTTCTTCACAGGCAAAGCCAGTTTAAGAGATACTGCTTTGCTTCTTCTCACTTCCTCCCTTCCATCAAAGGCAGTCCTTATTTTTTGCCTTTTTTTTTCTTTTTTCTTTTTTTTTTTTTTAATCTGAATATCTTCTCAACACAACCACTGAACAACAGAAAGTATAATGAACTGCAGTGGTGATGGAGAGTGCAAGTAGAGAATATCCTCAGCTGACTTTACTAGAAAATAAATGCTTTCTTTCAATGCAGTTCCACATGTATATTGCACCTAACACGAAGACTAGCAGAGATGGAGGAGGGCTTGGTTTCATAGTGTGGGTTCCTTACCTTGCCTGAAGACTGGCACATTCATATTACTGATGGTGGTCCTCTTCTCCAGTGTTGCTAAGAAATCCTTAATTATCGATGTTCGCATTCCTATATACTTGAACAAAACTTTGTCATAGAGAAAACTATGCATCTTGTGACATACACAGAATTAATGTGCTGCTTGCAAACTAGAATCTCCCATTTATGGTATAATGTAATTAGTACAAAGCAATAACTTTTGCAATAGAAATTTTTATTAATGTTAAAGTCTAGGTTGTGGGGCCAAATGTGCTGAGAATGCAGAGGTTCATGACTACTTAAATGTGTCTCTTGCCAATGCTCATTTTTTCTAACAACGTCCTTCTGATTTTCTTCTTCATTAATCACAGGTTCTAAGTTAGTTCCCTTTTGGAGCTGGCTGCAGATGGGCAGGGATCTCCTTTTTATACGACTGCGATATATGACTGGTGCCTGGCAGCTTGAAACAAGAAAATGTAATTAGGTTATTTACATTTTCCAAATATATTATTATACTTAATGGAACATGAGAACAGTTTCAATCAAGTGAAGTGGTGATGAAAGCTGAGGTAATTCTTCATTACTCCTGTTGTATGTTTCATTTTTGCAGCACGTATGTGTTTTATAAGGTTGTCAGCAGGAGATTTGTACCATGTTTTGAAAAGAGAAAGCATTCCCAAAAATATTTTCTTATCTGTTAATCAGGTTTTTATAATATTAAATAGTAGCTTTAACATGTCTTATAAGTTCACTCAAATAAATATATCTTCTTTTGTCTCATCATACATTTGGAATTTCCTTACATATATTAAAAGGAGGCAGTCTGTTCTACCTGATGCAATATTGTGTTGTGAATGACCACAACCATTTGTTTCTAGAGTAGCTGGAAATATAGGGCCATATTGCAACTTGGAATTATCAATCATGGTTCACACTGATGCATGTTTAGATTCAGTGTTACGGGAAATATTAATGGGTTTTACTGAGTTACGACAGTAATGTTCATAAGGCTATTCTAAGAACTTTCAGTAGTCTATTGACATTCCAGATGTTTTTGTCTGAAGCTGAAATAGTTTGTCTGAAATCAAACTGTGGATCATCTCCAGACTGTGGAAGATCCAAGAGAAAGTACTTTTTATGTTAAAATGTTGTCTTCTATAAATATGTTTTGCTCATATGTACTAAGTAATATGGTATGTTCAAGGCTGGGAGTCCTTGGCATCTACAAATCTGTAGTGCAAAGGGTATGGAAAGATAATTCAGAACATAAAAATTGAGACCCAATGTACACTGGGGGCCTGTGCATTACCGGTGCCAGTCTGATATTTCCACACTTCAAATGAGATCAGAGAGGGAGGAAGGGGTCTTGAGCCTTTCCTCATAATATCATACCCTGTTACTTCTGTAACAAGTGTATGACAGGGTTCAACAGTGCTTTCAAAACAGTTGTGGACTGCCAACAATCTAAGCCAATCTGTCTTTCGGAAACGTACAAATCTGTACAGATTTAAAGAACGAGTGGCATATGGCTGTACTTTCACATATGATTTCATTGGTGATTTTTCTTATTCCTTCTGCAATATTGAGTTTTGCTCCTGTTAAGGTTACCTCAGTTTTCTACGCATTGAAGTATTGGAATAAATTATCAAGAAGCACCTCCAGTTTGATATTGCAGTCTTTATTCTCTTGCCTAGTTCACATCCCATCTCAGCTGCCTTTCAAAGCAGGCTTGCTACATCTAAACTATTTGTTGGCGCTAGTTGTTGACCTGCCCAAAAATATTTTGAGAGCAGGGATAAGCAGCTTGTGGGACACCTGGCAAAGTGTAGTCTGACACATTCATTCAGTACAAGCAGAACAGGGATGAAAAAACAAAAGGAATAAACTGGGATAGAGGGAAATGGGGAGAAACAGAAAATGAAATTCATCTGGGGCTGAGATTGGAAGCCAGAGAGTGAAAAGGAAAATGGGAAGTACTGAGACTGCATGAGGAATGGGTGTGGAACAGCAATGGACTCAGCAAAGACTGGAGCAAGGGAATGGGGAATGAGACAGATCAGTTAAGGGTGGAAAAAAGGAAATGTTGCTTCCAGGGGAAGGGGAAGCTGAAAGGCCTCACTAAGCCAAGTAATCCACAAGAACAGGTTTAGGACAGAAATTGTCTAAAACAAGTTGGGACTCAGGGTACAGTAACATTTAGAGTCTGGGCTGGAATGTTGGACCCCTTTTTCAGAGTTTCTCAGCCATTATTTGACCTCTACAAAATCCTTTGGCAAATCTCTCATCTTCTTTCTGTGCCAGTCCATAAAGAGAACAGCTGGCTACCAGTATCAGTTGTTCTTCTGCCCTGGTCACTGAAACTTGCAGTACATCTGCAGGCTCCAATTCTGAACTGCACGAAGGAGCAATGGAATCTTTCACAAAGATGTGGAAGGCAATACAAACAAACGAAGTTTCAATGAAAGGTCACTTTTCAGAATTACAAAGCCAGGTAGGAAACAAAAGTAGCCTTTCTGATTTATTCCCACATTGTGTTTACGTGCTATGAGAGGAGATACTTTTGTGTGTAAGGATTACATTTCTTAAAAGACATATTTTCAGTGCATGGGGCTGATTCAGGAAACAATTGAGTTGTCCGGCAAAGGCAACTAGATTGGCCTTCTGTTTAGAAAATAAAAGTTTGGATAGAGTATAAATGAGACAAAGAATTAAAGAGAGGCTGTGTATTCTCCATTACCAGATAAAGTTAGACAGGCATATCGTTCTTTTCCTTCTTGCCCAAATGGTCAACGCATTCAGAAAGGATATTAGAGGTACAGATTCAGTTCCTTTATTGCTTAAGGCCACATCTAAAGTGGTGAAAGAATTGCCAAGCCCTTCTGCGAATCACTTCAAAGGGATATTTGGCAGTTCAGTGATGCAGATATGGCACTGTCCCAATCTTTCTGAAGATCAAAGTTTAAAAAATTTGAGTTCCAGGTCTGCCATAGTGTGTTCTGGGGTTGAAACATTATCGATTGCTTTTCTGAGAACTGCTTTTCTTCGCATGGAATGATCTCAGGTCTTTAACAGTTACCTGCACTTCTTGAACTAACTACTTAAAGCTTGCTCTGAAGCAGAGGCAGCAAAGGAGGCATTTTAGCTGAAAAGGATAGTTGGCTTTGCCTTCTTGCCTTCGCATAGTGACCAGAAGTCTTCTGGGTGGCATACTCCTAGTATTTGCTGATCATGAAAACACAAGGTTCAGAGGCTCAAATCATACAACATCAAGCACATGCTCTAATGGTGTCATGGTTTAAGCCCAGCCAGTAACTCGGAACCACTCAAACATTTGCTCACTCCCCTGCTTCTTTCTCCTGCTCCTATAGGGATGGGGAGGAGAATCGAAAGAATGTAACTCCCACAGGTTGAGATAAGAACAGTCCAGTAACAACAAAACCGTGTAACACAAACCACTACTGCTACAACCAGTAATAATAATGATAAGGGAAATAACAAGGGAAGCCAACACAACCGCTAACCACCCGCCAACCGGTACCCAGCCTGACCTGAGCAGCGATCCAGCCCTTCCGGGTAACTGCCCCCCGTTTATATACTGGACATGACGTGCTGTGGTATGGAATACCTCTTTGTCTAGTTTGGGTCAGGTGTTCTGTCTCTGCTTCCTCCCAGCTTTCCCTCCTCCCCAGCAGACCATGAGACTCAGAAAATCCTTGGTCAGAGTAAACATTACTGAGCAACAGCTAAAAACATTGGATGAATCATAGAATCATCTAGGTTGGAAAAGACCTTTAAGATCATCAAGTTTGACCACTACCCCAGGACTGCCAAGAACACCAAAACTACGTCACTGAGGGCCTCATCTACGTGTTTTTTGAGCACTTCAAGGGATGTGATTCTACCATTGCCCAGGAAAGCCTGTTCCCATGCCTGATCACCCTCTCTGAAGATATTTTTCCGAATAGCTTTTTGCTCACAATCAGTTATCATCAGCATTCCCCTAAAGGTATGTAGGGCAGGTACCTGTGAACATGATACTCTTGAAGCAAAGGTGGATCTTAATAAGGAGCAAATAAAAAATTAGTAAAAAGTGGATTTTTCTCTGTCAAAACTAAAGTTCATAGGACCTTGTCCCTCATGAAATGTAGTACACCTGAGAAACTTCAAAAGATTAAAGTCCATAGCTTTTACATGTCTTCAGACCAGGCCATAGCAGGGAGAAGATTTTGAACTGGTAAACTTCAAGTTTGGGTCAGATGTCTAAAGTCCACTTCTGTCTTGAGCCCTATACCAATATGTAGGTTAACATTAGCTTAATCCAAATATTTACTGAATGCAGAGAAAAGGAAGAACAATGGCAAGTATGAACTGTAAACTATTAAGCAAATATGAAGGATAATCAGATATTTTGAAAAGCAGCTACACAATGGCTATGAATTGGTTAAATAAGAGATGCCCCCATAGCAGAAACCCCAAATTACAGTATTAATTACACAAGCAGCAGTATCTGACACCAAAACATTTTACATTAACCTAAAAGACTCATAGAAATATCCGAGGCAGAGTGATGGGAAACGTAACTCATTTAGAACTGCCATAAATGAGATCCTTTAAAAATTAAGCACTTATCTAATAGAAATCTGCAGCTGTCAGAGATCAGAGATGCCCTGTCTTTGTATGAATTATATATCCTAAGTCAATCACATCCTGGTCTTCCCCAGGCTTTTACCTTAAGAGGGTTAGCTCTTCTTGTTAAATCCATAAATCTGTAGATACTTGCTCAGTTTAGTTTATTTCCAAGTTTATTTAATTTATTGCCTTATTTTTCTGTGTAGCAATTTGAAACAATGGGTAGTTTGGAGTCATGTATCTTGATTTTCCCATGAGGATCACATCCTGTGACAGAGGGTTTGGACTAGACCCAAGATATGACAAGTTAAGCATCAGGTTCCTGGGTGCCTACATTTAAGGTTATTGGAGGCCAGAATCCAGAACAAGGCACCTTTTATCTGTATGAAATACTGCACTTCCCAGGCCAAGCTGCTGACTTTAGGCAGAGTTGCCTGACATAAGCCTGCTCAGCATGAGGGGAGATCTCTGCTCCCTGCATAGGCCTGAACACTTTTCTTAGGGTAGGAAGGAGTAGAAGCCTTTCAGAAAATAGGTCTAAGCTTTCCCTTAGCAGCACAGGAGCCTACTCACTAGTCTACTGATTCAACTCTGTATGTAAGTAATGGAAACCAGGAGTAGATTCCCACACTGGAGGGAGATCAAGCCTGTATGTCCGATGAGCTGTTCTCTAATTGCTTTCCATTTAAGCTGTTGTCATAAAGCCAAACAGAGAAACATAACTCTGCCTCATTTATCATGGCACTTGACTGAGGGTGAGGAAGACCTGGGTTCCAGCCCTTCTCTTTGCTGTCTACTATATATTTACTATACTTAGGTGTCCTGGGTTCAGCAGTAGCAGTCATGTTTTTTAAAAAAAACATGGCAACGTGCTGGGGCTTGGCCTATGCTTACAGGGCCTTGTTCAACACTATCCAGCACCTTCAAAAGGAAAAGAATGTCGGCGGATGTGAGGGCAAAGCGACAGTCGCTACTCAAACTTTGGCTGCAATGAACAGCACAGCTACCCCAGTGGCAAGTACAGCAGCTGCTCAAACTTCAACTGCAACAGACAGCGTGGTTACCCCAGCTCCAAGCACAGCAGCTGCACCACCCCCAGCAACAAGTACAGTCGCTACTCAAACTTTGGCCTCAATGAACAGAGCAGCTACCCCAGTGGCAAGTACAGCAGCTGCTCAAACTTTAACTGCAACAGACAACGTGGTTACCCCAGCTCCAAGCACAGCAGCTGCACCAACCCCAGCAACAAGTACAGTTGCTACTCAAACCACAGTGATAATCACTGCAGCCAAACCAGAGGACCAATTTGTACCAATATCGGTTGCCCCTGTACGCAAGAGAACAAGCAAAAAAGAGGCAAGAAGGGTGAAGCCAGATGAAGAAACAATGAATTCACCACCCGGTCCAGAATCTGATCAGGAGTCATCATCACATGACAAAGAAGAAGAGGTAACTTCTCCACCTCAGACCTCAACCGAGCTGCGGAATATGCGAAAAGATTTTACCCATCAACCAGGGGAGCACATCATCACCTGGTTACTCCGACATATACCTCAAGGGGATTTGATTTTAGGGGAAAACAGCCAATGAACTCAATTGTATGCTGTTGCCTGCTGTGTAATGCTTTTATAGCCCATCAACTAGATGTCTCCAGGTCACCAGCGACTGGCCCTGACTTCCCTCCAGCCATCATCCCAACAGAGAATGAACTTTGAACATCATGGACCGAATGGACTCGGCAACATTATAGGGATTGGTCCATGCACTAAGAAAATGATCTTTTCCTCTTGGTCTGTATGTATATAGATGTCTATATGTGGGAAAGCGATGGTGTATTGAAAATGTGGGATCTGAGCATGACGTGAATGGTATGGAATAAGGGGTGGATAATGTCCTGGGTTCAGCAGTAGCAGTCATGTTTTTCCTTTGTGTTAGCTGGTGCAGTGCTGTGTTTTGACTTCCAGCCTGAGAACAGTGTTGGTGAAGCCGATGTTTTCGGTTGTTGCTAAGTGATGTTTACCCTG